CGACTCTCAGATTGCGAGTCGAGCGTCCTAACCACCTGGCCATGCCGGGCCTATGAGAAGGAAGTCTTCAACATGACAGATCGTGGTATTTAAACTGACAGTGGCATCTAATATCACTTATCTACTTAACCTGATATACAAAAAGGTGGCATTTTTTATCATTAAAGACAGGTACTAATTTATTCCAAATAAAACTGTTCTTTTCTTTAATCTTAGGTTTCGGCTACAAGCTTACAGTTTCCTCTAAACAAAAGTATCATGGTATTCATAGCTACTGTTTTGTTTTTGAAAACGACCTTTAGAAAGTAGTAATAGATAGTCATTCTTTATAAGTACATCAACACTTTATAAATCTATGAAGACCTTTACACTATTATAATTTCCAATAAATATTATAATTTGAAAAATAATATGTTTTGAAATTAAGTTTCTTTTAGGTTGAACCCAAACTTATTCCTAGATTTAAGCGGATTTTTGAAATATTATCTCCTATTGTGTATAGTTGTCGAAAATGAATATGTCGTTGTTTGTTTTATTTGAAAATGTTTAAAACCATTTTTTACGTGAAAGTCAAGCTAGAATTTGGAATGAATGTAACAGAAGGGAAGAAATTCCAACAGACTTGTGTAATGGATAGATGGAATCCACAGAATGGCCCAACTGTTAAAAAACCTTATGGTGTAACTTTCAATCATTTTGTGTTGGTATTTTGTCGAATATGAATTGTCCAAGAAACAAATTCAAGTTTTGTAAAGTTTACGTTGAAGTCATGGTGAGAAGTAAACAAGTTTAATTCATTACTCATCATATTCTAGGAAATTCAACATCTTATTTTTAATCTAATTCAGATAACTTCTGGAAAATATAAGATATATAATATTTTTGAAAGAAAATAAGCAGACGAAAACTATTAAAACTCACTAAATCACCAACTTAGAGGTGGAATGACACATTCGCTTTACTTACATCTTTGTGTGAGACTGATTATTTTCATTAAGTACGATAAACGTTAATATACATTCTCTGTAGTGTGCTTCTACCTTATCATTAAATATTTTGATGTAATGAAGTGAGTCAAGATGAGGTCAACGTAACATCATTTCATATAATATCTTTCCGCTTCAGCTTCTCAACAGGCTTGTCACTGGATATTTATTCCTTAAATATTGGTCAACTCGTAGGTTTAAAAATATATTATCACCAATTTCATATATATATATATTATTTCTCCTATCAATAGAAATTCCATGAAATACTGGATGTGGGTCAATAAAATTTGACCAACATCATCAAACAAGTCTGTTTTAAATTGCTTAAATACACACTAAAGAGCATATCTATAATATAAATGAGCATGTTTAATATTTTGTACCAAATTAGGAATATAGTATTTGATTTTTTACTTTAGTTAAAAATTCAAAGTTTTTGTAATGAATATAGAATGAAATTACATACAGCGTGTAAATGTTGAAATATTGTACCTTTTATCCATGCAGTTTACCCATTCTGACACCATCTCTCTGTCACATCGACTTTCTTTCTAGTTGAATTTGCAAACCGGTAGATGGCAGGAAAGACAACTGAAATAATTAATACCTTTAGTCCTCTTCAGGTTCTGTTTCTACACATCCTTACAATTCTAGTAAAAAATAATTATACAATGCGAAGAGTAAAATAAAGAAATGGGCTAATAAAAACTGCGTTTCATTTTGTACTAAAAATTATTTTTTGATAATATATCACATAATAAAGTGGATCAACAGTACCGAAGAATATATAAATAATACCAGCATTCTGGCAAATTCACATTCAGATATGCCAAATTCTATGTCAGTTATTACCAACTTTAAAAACAACAGCATGAAGATTAATCAATCTGCCGACTTCACCAATGTATCCAATGATAATGAAGGAAGGATTACAAGGTTTACTAGAATTGTTACATTACTATGCTATTTTGTAGAACTCTGAACGTTTAGTCTGGTTTACATCAAATGTACGCGCATTACGGTGAAAAGGCAAGGATTGTGTTTGTTTGTAGTCAAGCGCAAAGCTACACAATGGACTATATGTGCTCTGCCCACCTCGGGTATCGAAACCCGGTTTCTAGCGTTGTAAGTCGGCAGACATACCGCTGTGTCACTTGGTGGCACACCGAATAGAGCACGTTCTTGTTCATCGAGGACTTAGGAGGAAATGCAAATAAAAAATGAAAAGAAAACGACAACTTAGCAAAATAAACAGCGTCACTGACAAAATGAACCTGTTTCTTAATCATAAAACATTCAATGATCATTGCAACGTATTACGTTTCAGTAAACATTTTCAACGGACTGATTAATGTACTTACCTCGAAGAGTTTGCTAACTTCTAAAAAATTGCGAAATTGAACAATTTTATTTCTATTGTTAAGATAAAAAATTACTACGATGAATTGTTGTCACCGAAATTATTTTGGTATTAACTAAGTCTGAAGGTTCTTTGAATACGTCTCAGTATAGTATACTAATCTTTGCTTATTGCGTCTAAAAGAGATGTCATAAAACATCACTATGTAATTAGAACAGTCAAAACGATAATTAACGAAGAAAATTGGACAAATATTCGTGGCCCTGTCCAACACAGTTGGAATGAAGGCAGTCCTGATATATACTAAAGACATTCCACAGTTGGAATGAAGGCAGTCCTGATATATACTAAAGACATTCCACAGTTGGAATGAAGGCAGTCCTGATATATACTAAAGACATTCCACAGTTGGAATGAAGGCAGTCCTGATATATACTAAAGACATTCCAAAGTTGGAATGAAGGCAGTCCTGATATATACTAAAGACATTCCACAGTTGGAATGAAGGCAGTCCTGATATATACTAAAGACATTCCACAGTTGAAATGAAGGCAGTCCTGATATATACTAAAGACATTCCACAATTGGAATGAAGGCAGTCCTGATATATACTAAAGACATTCCACAGTTGAAATGAAGGCAGTCCTGATATATACTAAAGACATTCGACAAATACTCACACTACAGTGGTTTTCTACTGCAAAACTATAAACAAGACGGTCATAACATTCACTAAGAACATTAAGCAAATACACAGAAAATAGTGGTTTTATATAACGATGCTACAAACAAAACGATCATGACATCCACTACGGACACTCTGCAAATACTCAATCCATAATGTCTTTAAACAAGCTATAAACAAGGCGGTAATAACATACAATAAGGACATTCAGCAATTACACAGACTATAATGGTTTTTACTACAGTACTATAAACAAAACGATCATTATATCCATTCAATAAATACTCAGACTTTAGTGTTTTTCTATAATAGTATTTTAAAAAAGACGATAATGATATCCACTAAAGACATTCAGCAAATGGTCATAATAGTGGTTTTCAACAACAGTACTATAAGGATTTGTTTGTTTGTTTGAAGTTAAGCACAAACTACACAATGGGGTATCTGTGTTCTGCCCACCACGGGTATCGAAACACGGTTTATAGCGTTGTAACTCCGCAGACATACCGCTATGCTATTGGGGGGCTACTGTAAGGAAGATGCTAACGATTTCCACTAAGGACATTCCGCAGATACTCAGACTATATAATAATATATAATATAATAATCCTATAAACAAGACGGTAATGGCATCCGCTATGGACATGAAGCAAATACGCAGACTAGAATTGTTTTGGAAACGATACAACTAAAAACATTCAGCAGATACTTATAGCATGGTGGTTTTCTACAATAGTACTATTAACAAGACGGTAATGATATAACTAAAAACATTCAGCAGATACTTATAGCATGGTGGTTTTCTACAATAGTACTATTAACAAGACGGTAATGATATAACTAAAAACATTCAGCAAATACTTATAGCATGGTGGTTTTCTACAATAGTACTACAAACAAGACGGTAACGATATAACTAAAAACATTCAGCAAATACTTATAGCATGGTGGTTTTCTACAATAGTACTATAAACAAGACGGTAACGATATAACTAAAAACATTCAGCAAATACTTATAGCATGGTGATTTTCTACAATAGTACTATAAACAAGACGATAATGATATAACTAAAAACATTCAGCAAATACTTATAGCATGGTGGTTTTCTACAATAGTACTATAAACAAGACGGTAATGATATAACTAAAAACATTCAGCAAATACTTATAGCATGGTGGTTTCTACAATAGTACTATAAACAAGACGGTAACGATATAACTAAAAACATTCAGCAAATACTTATAGCATGGCGATTTTCTACAATAGTACTATAAACAAGACGGTAATGATACAACTAAAAATATTAAGCAAATACTTATAGCATGGTGGTTTTCTACAATAGTACTATAAACAAGACGGTAATGATATAACTAAGAACATTCAGCAAATACTTATAGCATGGTGGTTTTCTACGAAAGTACTATAAACAAGACGGTAACGATATAACTAAAAACATTCAGCAAATACTTATAGCATGGTGGTTTTCTACGAAAGTACTATAAACAAGACCGTAATAATATACACTAAAAACATACAGCAAATACTTATAGCATGGTGGTTTTCTATAATAGTACTATAAACAAGACGGTAACGATATAACTAAAAACATTCAGCAAATACTTATAGCATGGTGATTTTCTACAATAGTACTATAAACAAGACGGTAATGATATAACTAAGAACATTCAGCAAATACTTATAGCATGGTGGTTTTCTACGAAAGTACTATAAACAAGACCGTAATAATATACACTAAAAACATACAGCAAATACTTAGGCTATAATGGTTTTATATAACATTTTTTTAACAATGCTGTCATGAAGTCTCCTAAGTGCATTTACTAAATACTCATATTACAGCGGTTTACTATAATAATAATACTATAAACATGATAATCATAAAATCCTCTAAGAACATTCTACAAATACTCAGACTATAATGGTTTTCTACAACAGTTCTATAAACACAACGGTAATAACATCCACTAAAGGCGTTCTAAACACTAAGAACAATGAACAAATACTCAGTATTATGTTACGTATTGCGAATTTGAAATAATCCGAAGCCGATATTTTAGTTAATTTACACTATTTGCAAACAAGATTGATACACACCGTTTTTCACACAAACACGTTTTAATATATATGTATACAACAATACAATTTACAATAGTAGCTATTACGCTTAATTACTACAAACAAAGATTTCACTAACTTAAAAATAACATAAAATATTCTTCCTAGTTCGGAGTCTCCTTAATATCCAGCGAGTTAACTTGAAGTCGATGTACATACAATTGCCGAGAAGTTAGGTAGCTTTGTCAGGCACTGAATTGTTGGACCGTCGAAGTAAGATAATATTTTCATAAAACCGCTTATGTCCGATGAGAATCTAGTAATATTTTCGGAAAGATGAGAATCCACTGACGTTCGAAATTTATAACTTCCTGGTCAAATATTGTAAATTTTCCGGTTGATAAGGGTTAGCAAAATCACGGTTTATAGCGTGCACGGTTAAAACAGGTTCCTAGCAGACTTATAAGCTCTCTGTCTTTTTTTGGCGTGTCGCCTTGGCTGTTTTTTATAGGTGCTATATTTAACCAGTTATGGAAGTGGATATATTGTCGATTCTTGCGTTCACGAATATTCTACAATCTTGGAGAATTGGAGGGAGTTTCGCCATACGTAACTAACACTGTAGCTAGGCACGTTTTTAATATAATCTCATTCCAAACAAACGTTGTCATTAAACTAAATATATAACAAATTCGTTATATGCAATACATATCTGACACTATAAGTTACGCATATTTTTAAATACAAATTTAATCTAAACAACATTCATATTAAAGATAAATACATAACAATAAATTCGTTACATCATACTATAGTGGTTTTCTACAATAGTACAATGAACAAGGTGGTCAGGAAAAACACAAAGAACAATCAGCAAATACTCAGACTATGGTGGTTTTCTACAACATTACTGTTAACTAGACGGAAATGACATCCACTATCAATAGTCTGCCAAAACACAGGTTGTAATGACTACCTATAAGTGGATTATAAAGAAGATGGTTATGACATTCAGCAAATACTCATACTATAGTAGTGTTCTATAATAGTAGTATTAGCAAGATGATCAGGACATTCCCTAAGGACAATCAGCAAAATCTCAGACTATATTGTTATTTTACAACAGTACTGTAAACAAGACAGTGATGATATCCACTAAGGTCATTTGGAAAATACTCATACTATGGTGGTCTTCTAAAACAGTACCTTAAAGAAGACGGTAATACTCGGAATACAATGGTTTTCTAAAATAGTACAACAAACAAGACAATAATGACATCCAGTAAGGAGGTACAGGAAATTTTCAGAATATATTGCATTAGCCTGAGCCATCGGGGAGGTAAATGTTAAAACAATCAATTTGTTTTTTGTTTCGTTTTTTTTCACTTCACAGCTACCAATTAGTTTAAAAAAAGGACAAATGTAACCCATGATTAACGTGATTAATTTCTTTCAAGTAAATGAGCACA